ATTTGATAGTTCATTTGGTTAGGGAGATTCGATTGTGTGGCCCGGTTTATCTTAGATGGATGTACCCTGTTGAGAGATACATGAAGATCTTAAAAGGATATGTCAAGAATCAATACCGCCCAGAAGCCTCTATTGTGGAGAGGTACATTGCAGAAGAAGCCATTGAGTTTTGTTCAGGGTACATGTCGAAATCAGAACCAATAGGAATTCCTAAGACTCGACATGATGGGAAACAATTTGGTAAGGGTACTCGAAGTTTAAAGATTAGAACTGTGAGTCGAACAGAAGTTGACCAAGCACATTTGTACATATTGAACAACACTGATGAAGTAATTCCTTACATATCTGAACACATAGATGAAATCAAGATAGCACACCCCCGAATGAATGAGAAATGGGTATTGAATGAACATAACAAGAGTTTCTTAGCTTGGTTTAAGAAAAAGGTTTACGGTGAGGTTAATGCTTCTAATACACTTTTGAGACTCGCTCGTGGGCCTAACAACGATGTCATTACATTTGGTGGGTATGACATTAACAAATATTGTTTCTATACAAAGATAGAAGATGACAAAAGTAGAGTACAGAACAGTGGGGTTACAATTCAGGCTGAGGCTGTGCACTTTGCTAGTTCTAAAGATAAAAATCCCATTACAGCATCCATGAGTTATTTCGGAGACATACAAGACATATAGGAAATTGATTATGTTATGTTTAGAGTGCCTGTGTTCAAGTGTAAATGGGTTGATGGCAATACGGGTGTGCGGACAAATGATTTAAGGTTTACTTTGGTTGATTTGAACAAGGTCGGTTATAAGGATGAACCTTTTATTATGGCATATCAAGCAAGACAAATTTTTTATGTCAGGGATCCATGTAATGAGAAATGGTCAATGGTTCTCAAAAGAAGAACCATGCACGGAACTCACGAAGATGAGTCTCTAGATATGCATGAAACATCGTCTTTCTCAAGTAGATCATTTGGTCCTATTGCGGACAATGAAGTGGACGAAATGCATGCTATTCGAAGTGATCATGATGAAGGAATATGGGAAAACATACCAACCTAATAGGTTTGTGTTTGTGTATTATTCATTTTTTTATTAGTTGTTTTGTTGCTATATTGTTATTATCTTTTTTACTTTATTTGTCTATTTAGTTAATTCATTGTTTTAATACTAAGAGTTATATTTTTCAGGGTTATGGCAGATTCGGGGTCTAACAGTGTAAGGAGGGAAGGTAGATCTATCACTCGATTGTCTGGGTTGACAGTTGGACGCATTGCCAAGGAGAGGACACAGGTTGAGGTGGATACTCATTCTGGCAAGGCGTCAAGCCCAAATGCTGCAAAGTTTAAGAGCTATTTGGGAGTCCTAGCTTGACGTAATGTTTCTATTATCATTCCATCATGGGATGACGTTGAAGAGGCTGACAAAAACCTCATGTGGCAAGATATTCAAGTATATACTTGCACATCTTTTCAATATTATATAACTTAAATACATTATTTACTATTTGTTGTTATTTTGATAGCAAAATTTTGACATTCCAAACACTGAGATCATGAGGAACAAGATGTTATCTGCCCTTGCCACCAAGTGGAGACTTCAAGACTTTCTTGACACGAGAGTATGTATTTGGAGAGCGACAAAATGAGACTCTTTATCTAAAGTACCAGATTACTGACGAGGATTGGATGCAATTTTGTGCCAGTCGATTAGACCCTTCTTGGCAGGTTAGTTATTGATAATTCTTACATTGACACAAATACTTAAGGTATATTTTAATCTCATTTTCTTATTTGTATTATTGCAGGCCAAAATACTATTTGTCCAAGAACCACAGAGCAAGAATGATGCACCCCATCTATTGTCAAGAGGGGAATATGAATTAAAAAGAAGAAATTGATGAAGGCTAGGGCAGAGGCATCAGGGGTTGAGTCTGCTGACCTTCTGGATCCACCTCCCCGCTATGAGATGTGGATAGCAACTCGAACAAAATCAGATGGGCAAATGACTTCTAAGTCTGCAAGGGTCATTGCTAATAAAATAGTAAGTAAAAATATACGAACTAACACTCTTAATTTCAACTCATTCAATTCATAAGTGTAGTTTATGGTATACTTATTGTTAATATGTTGCAGGAGGGTTTAGTTGAGCAAACCACCTAGGGCTCATTTGTTCCCCATGGTCGGGATGATATACTCACAACGGCCATAGGAAGGCCAGAGCACCTAGGGCGTGTGCATGGTATTGGTGGTTCTTGGAGTCTTCGAGATTACTTTGGTGCACCACCATCGATGAGCAGTACTGTTGACTCTTGCAATCAGGAGGTTATGCAGAGAATGGAGATGTAGTTTGAAGAAAAATTAATTGAATAACATGCGACAAGAGTTTGAACAAAAGTTTGAGTTTTTGGCTCGTTCTCAGCAACAGACTATATTTGCTAATGATAGTGTTTGAGTCAGCAGTAAAGGGAGTTGTGCTGCTCCAGATCCCTCAGGGGAACAGACTCACACTGATGTACCAAACCAGTGTGAGTTATATGTTGAGGATGACCCCCATGATTAGTGGCTATTGGTCAAGTATTTGAGGGTGGCTCAACCATCCATGGTGTCCCTCTATAGCCAGACTAGACACAGGTTGTGGTTGACCAAGTTCAAGATGTTGCTGCTCTAGTGCCTTTGCCCAATACATAGGTTCAACTAGTGGGGTAAGCAACCGACACATTCTTAGCTTGGCCAAAATGTTTGGTGATGCCACTTTCAGCACGGGCAAAGGTAATTCTATTATTGCTCTTTTATATTCTTATAATTCTATTATTGTTTAACTAATTTTGATTATTTCTTTAGGATTTTATCAATCGTGGTAAGGAGGTCATGAGAGAACCTGTTATTGATGATGATGATATCGCAGAAGCTGAGGATGATCCCATATTATCACGATTAAAGAAGAAACCAATTCAATTGCAGTGGGACATTAAAGCTTTTGGAGTTGATAGCTCTAATGTTCCACTATACATATCCCTGTCTGGTGCATTAGAGATTGTTGGGAAAAACTCCATGTTAAATATATCTATCATACAGCTGTGGGCCATGTAAGTGATATTTTCTTTTATAAGTCTAAAATTACAATAATTACATTTAACTTATAATAATTAATTGTGTTAGGTACATGGATAAATTGAGTGTGGAGCAAGCACAAGCACAAGTATATGGATTTATCATCCAAAAATTAGGAAACACTCAGGTCCAGATCCAACAATATATGCAAACATGGATGAGTGAATCAGGAAGACATATATACATGGCTCCATACATTGAAGGGTTAGTTTTTTAATTGGTTTTTTAATCATGGTAATTTTATAACTAATGTGTTTGTCATATAATGTAGGTCCCATTGGTAGTTAATTTTAATCATTCCTAAGGAATACACCGTGGTGTGGTTTTGTTCATCACTACATCGAAAACCAAGCCACGAAATGAAATGCCAATTACAAGGGTAACTATAATTTTTCATTATGTTTTAAAACTGTAACTATATATATTGGCTAACATTTATTTTTATTTCAATTAATTAGAATCGTGTCTGGAACTAATATTTTAAGTGGAAGAGCCAGATCAAAGACATTGCACTTCATATTTCCTAAGGTTAGCAAATTTTTTAATAGAGGAAATAATATTTGAATTTATCGACTTTGGAAATAATAGTTATTTATTTCTCATTTTAGTGTAATAAGCAACAAGACTCGTTTGAATGTAGTTATTACATCATGTATTGGATGAGAGCCATAGTTTCTGCGGTATTACTGATTCTTGGGGGCAGGTAATTCATATCAAAATTTATTTAAGTATATATTACATTTATGATAATTAACATTGCATATTAATGAAACTTAAATTAATGTTTCAAGTCTTTTAAGATCCATCTCCATTGGCCAAAGATGAAATCATCAAGATAAGAGAACAATGGGCAACTTTTTTTTCTTCAAAGTATATAATAGTTAGATTTCTAAGTTTAGTTAGTTGGATATTATGTTTCTAGTTTGATAGCATTGACAAACATATGTTCTATATAGCTTTTTTAGGATAATAGAATTTACATTGTCTTAATTTATGCTTTTTAAGATTTATATATTATTTTCTTTTTGTCATTCAATTTTAAAATATAAATTATATTTGAATTTGTATTCTAGACTGCCTGGGTTAGGCTTTGTATTTTGGACGGTATGCAGGTTTTGGGTGTATAAAAAAATAATACAAATTAAAAAAAAACGCATACATTTACGTCGGACTATACCATGTTTGACGTAAATTTACGTCGGACATGGTATAGTCTGACGTAAATAGTTTAGTGTTTTTTGTTTGTTTTACAACATTTTTTTTATGTCGGCTCTTGGGAATGTTCAACGTAAATTTACATCGGCTATCACAACCGACGTAAATTTACGTCTCCCGCATTAACGTCGAACCTTTTTTTGATGTAAAAAACTTAAAAGAATCGACGTAAATTACCCCTTTTGTACTAGTGCTTATATACAACAATAATGAATGGTAACAAATTAAGTACTTGAAATTAAAAAAATATTAGAAAATGAAGAAGTTATCTAATAAAATAAATCATTAAATAGGTAAAAAAAAATTCAAATTTATCTATAAAAAAATATTAGATAAATCTTGCTCAATTTGATTCTTCTATTTTTGAAATAATTTAATTTAATTATCTAATTTTTAAATAATTTCAACAACGTCATTAATGTGAATTTAAATGATAAAATAATGTCAAACATTTTTAAAAAGTTAAAGAACCAAATTAAACTATTTAAAAATAACAAGATTAAATTAAATTTTAAAAATAAATAAAATGACAAAAAAAGATAATTTTTAAAAATATAATAGTCGGAATATATACGTAATGTTCATTAACGAGAATCGTGGACACATAATGATGCCATAATGTATGTACCTAATAATTTATCCTGTTTCCCATACTAGTCTCCGGATGGAATCTCCCCAAGGTACATAGATATCTCCAACAAGGGACACAAACAAAGATAGAGATCCTAATGGTTTGTTCATATCTTAATTTACACGAAATGCATGTATGAGCCGGCCACACGGGGATGATTTCTAAATAGTCATAATCAAATTGAACCATATTCCAAGACATGCATATCTAGTTTTATTGGTTCGATACTTATCACACTTTCAATGAAGACACACATGAACTTCGTTAACATCGCACTCCTTCTTGCTCTAAGCTGAGTTCTATTAATACGAATTTCTCATAATGATTCTCTCCTTTTGGCTTCGACAATGATTTTCTCTACTCTTGAGAAAGAGCACAAAACATGAGGAATCAACAACGGAAGAAACGAAGGGTGGAAGGAGAGGACTATATCAGCAAACTTCCCAACAGCATTTTGTGCAAAATTTTATCTTCTCTCAAAGTCAAGGAAACTGTGAGCACCAGTGTTCTATCATCCAAATGGAGGAACGTTTATGCCAATCTAACAAACCTTACATTGGACGCAGAAAACATGCTAAAGAGGGGTCACTCAGCGTCCAATGTTTGGTTCAAAAACGAGGAGCAAAAGTTGGAATTCATAAGGAAGAGAGCTTCAGCCTTCGTGAGTAGTGTCAACATGTACTTGTCACATCTTGGACAAGTCCAAAAGATTGTGAAGTTAAGAGTTTGCTTCACATTTGGCCATGATGGGTACGGCTCCAGTGATCTTGATGAGTGGATTCGTTTTGCCATCGAGAGAAACGTGGAAGAGATTGATCTTTGCTTGTTGGAACACAATTCTCCAAATGATGGCTCATCACTCCATGTTTTCCCTTGTGATGTTGTTGCCAATGAGGGTGCGTTGAGGTCATACCTCAAGTGTCTTCGCTTGGCACATTGTGTTCTTGCACCTAACATGTACCATAACAACAATGGTTTTAGTACACTCACAACCATGGAGCTCTTCAAAGTGGATCTGAAATCCGAAGTGCACATTCAGGTTTTGTTGTCTGTAAGCACCAACCTTGAGTGGTTGGAATTCTCCGAATGTTACAACATGGAAAAGCTGAGAATAGAGCACCCCTTTTGCCAGAAGCTGAAGTACCTGAACGTGAATCTTTGCCATCAGTTGAAGGCACTTGAGATCCAAAGCACTAGTTTGGAGACATTGGAATACAAGGGAAGCAAAATTGAGTTTGCTTTTGATGCTCCAAAACTTAAGACTTTCTTCAGTCCTGTAAGTGATTCTACTGCTTGTCACAAGGAGCTTTGGCCAGTCCTCAGGCTTCCCATTGATCTTCCCCAGCTGGAAACATTGATCATGGAATGCGGCTGTAACATGGTATGTGGTTTTATTTAGACTAGGGTGTTGGTTTTTTTCATCAATTTTTATTATATGGTTCTATACTACATGTTTGAAAATGGTCTTTTTCTTTCTGTTTCGATTCCAGCAATGATATTTTAAATCCTTATTATTTTTTTATATTATCTTTGCAACCCCTTTTTTATGGTTGTAAAAGATGGGGTGGTAATTAATTCACTTTCTATCTTCCTTTCTTTTTTAGCATAAAAAATGTACTGAAAACAAAAATATTTCTTTGACAACGTGACATCAATGAGATGAAGATAAGAATGTAGGTATAGTATATTATATGAAGTGTGAGAGAGAGAGATAAATAATGAGTGTTGATAGCGTATATGAAATTGTGAGGTGTCTAAAAATCAATATTCTAGTAAGAATTAAAATACACTCCATTTTAGTAGACATTACTCTTTTTTTTTTTTTTTAATTACGTGTAATTTTAGCTTAAATTGAAGTTACTAAAAAAAGTTATTAATTTTGATTAAGGAACTTTGTTTTCATCAAATTCTCTAAATTGACTACCCCCCACCCCCACCCCCACATACATTTAAAGTTTTTAATGATTTTTCTTTCTGTCCAAATACTACTGGTGATTTACTTTTCACTAAAATACAGGTAAATATTAAAGGATATTGGTTGGAGTGAATTGTTAACTATTGGTTGGAATAGTACAAGTTTTTATAAAATAATTAAAGAATTATAATTGAGAGAAAAAAATATCTCAAAATCATAATATGAAAAATAAAAAGAGAAAAAAAAAAGCTTCAAAATGCAACTATAAAAAAGAAACAAATATTAGAGTATTAGATAATTTTGAACTATCAAGTGTTAATGATCTTAACCAACCACTATATAATACGTATTTATATTTTTATTAATTTATTAATAATACTTAATTGTATGTCAGATTAATTAGAATAAGTTGTTCTATAGGACCATCAAATAACTTCTCTCATGTTAGGGTGTACTTGAGGAGAGAAAGAAATTGAAAAAAAAATGAGTTGCAAAATAAGATATAAAAAAGTGTAAAATATAAGTTAATTTTGAAGAGATGTAATGAATAAGGTATTGTCTAGATTATTTCTATATCAAATTACCTGAAGCATGTTAATTACATGCGTAAATATGATTAACTTTTGTCTTATATGTATTAAGAAGAAATACACGTGATTGTGATTTTATATAATTATGTAGTTGACACTAACCGTTAAATATATCTTACATATGATTAATATTATTATGGGATTATTAAATTGATTAATGATGATTAATTTTGTCTCACAAGCATTTAGAAGTAAATAAGTGTATATAATTATCAATTGTGTACTTGTGATACTAATGGTTATATTATTAATTGCTATTAATCTTATCTCACAAGTTATTAAAACTAAATAATATATGTTTATAAATATCAATATATATTTTTCAAATTTAAAAAGTAAACATGCTTCACAAAATGATAACCATATCTTAAAAGTAATTAATTTTCCAAGTTGGGTGGACAATACCTAACGAGAGAAGATTATAATTTCTTCTTCTAGAAAATTTAAAAGGTGTATTAAAAAAATCAGCTCCTCGCTAAATAATTAATATTGTTTCAACAATGGGAGTAACTTTTGGATACTTTGATCATATCCTCTAAAATGGGGCTGTGAAAAATACTTGATTTTTTAATGCAAATATTCAACCCTTTTGATCGAGTATTAATTAATTGTCACAAATATTCGACATATTTTGTTTCATGGGGCTTTTTCAGGGGGAGGTAATGGCAATCAGATTACCCACATATAAATTTTCGTGCTTGAGGCATCTAGAAGTTATTAAAGTGGCAACAGATCAACAAGACTTCTGGTGGGTAGCCAGTATTCTGGAATCATGCCCTATACTTGGAAGACTAGAGTTGCATGTGAGTTTTTCTTTTTTAAAATATATTTTTATAAAATATTAATTTTGAAGCACAGATTATAATATTGTTATTCAAATAATATTAACAATATAGTTCGGTCACATTAATATTTTAGTTTTGTTGTCATCTTCTACCTTTTAAAGATAACTTTCCATACACTCTTTTCCTTTACCATCATATAACTATTTTGATTAATTTTCATTAATCTTAATTACCACTCTTTCACTTTGTAAATTCTGACATGTAAACTGTAAAAACAAAAATATTTTAATTTCAAATTATAGTACTAAAATAGACTATTCATTTTTAAAATTTTTGACAATATCAATAATAATCATGACAAAACCGTGGCCATGACCATAATTTAATGAGAACTGTTATGGGACCAAAAATAATCTAAATTAAGTTTTTAGTATAGTACTGGTTGTTTTCGGTCAATACTTCAATTAATGATTTTAAGCAGATTGAAAGAGAGAGAAAACTTCATTAAATAAAAACTCATTCAACTATTGATAAGAAAAATAATATCATATCCCTCATATTTATATTCCACAAAATTTCTCTAATTTAGAGCTATCAACATAGATATTAATATAAGTACCAAATCTAGTAAATTGCATTGAGGAACTTTCTGAATGTCAAGAACACAATTCATTTGGGATATTGCACAATTCTCTTGGCATAAGATATCACCGTATAAAATTTTCAAAATCAGCCTTTGGAGATTAAATGAAGTATCCGTTCAACTGAAAACAGAAAAATTAAATATTTAATACATTAATTCTTTTTGTTAATAATTTATAGTTATATGAATTTAATTTGTTGCAGCTTCGGACCTATTCATGTATTCACAAATACTTAAGGAAAAGAGGTTGGCCTCCCACATGCCAACACAATCATCTGAAAGAAGTTGTAATAACTGGCATAAGTGGTTACTCAAGTGAAATAAAAATTGCAAAATATCTTCTAAAGAATGCCATTGCACTTGAGAAAATGACAATTGACCCACGTCCAAAATGTTACCTAGGGAAGGGTAAATGGGATCACTCACAAGGTTCTCATGAGAATGGGACCCACATCCAAAATTTGAGGCAAAAGGTTCATGACCTTCTAAAGAAAGAACTAGCTAATTCAGCAGTGGAATTGTTGATCAAGTAAGCAGAAAGTGATGAAAGGAATCACGTTTAGCAAACGTGCAAATTAAGCTAAAAGGTATCAAGTAATCAACAAGGAAGAATGTGAAGAGAAAGTAATAAAGGTATCGTAGCTAAAAGGGAACTTAGATTATAATAAGAATAATAGTAATATATATGTAAAACTAGCTATTATGAAATAAGGAATGGTGAAATGTAAAATGTAAAATGACAATGCTGGACCTCGGATCGAGTTCATGTTGAACAGACGAGAGTTTCCCCAAGCACTTCAATGAAATGAAATACAGTTCCTTCTTGGCTTTCAATGTGCACACAAATAGCATTACTTGTAATGAAATGAATTTGGTTGGTACTTGGTATTTGGTATTTAGTGTTAGTTGTGCCTAAAAGTTCCCCCAAACACTTCACTTGTGTGATCAGGACTATTAATATTCTATATATCTAGTTAACTAGCCCCACCTGTGAAGCGTTCAGAGGAACTCCAAGAGACAACCAACATTTAATCTTTGAGCCATGCTGTGGATAGCCAAAGCACACAAGGGTTTTATTTATAGGGGAGAAATATGTGCATAGAACGACTAAATAATGGGAATTTATGTGGACATGGAAATATTTAACAAAACATTATGTGTGTGTAGTACTGAACCTGGTCAGGATGTCTGCTAGATGAGAGATCCCAATTGCTCAGAATGACAAAATATGGGTTTGTTACTGGTAAAAGTGATTCTAAGTTCTAGCCATCAAAAGTTAACAGAAGATCAGTTCTAATCCCCTTCAGTCACTTTCATATCTCACTGTAATAAAAGTCATGTATAGCTTCTAGATTAAAAAAAAAAAAACTTAACTATCCTTTCCAAAGAATAGTTGATGTTGTTCTTTAATTAAAATTGAGAATTTATTTTAATAATATATATATATATATTAATGAGATCTACATTATGTGTAAATGTATACTATTGAGAAGTAAATCCTCAATTTTAATTGAAAAACAATATCAATCATATCAAATAAGTTGTAGTTAAATTTTGTTAAAAAGAAAAACTACTAAACTAACTATTGAAATGTAACATGCACTCTTAACATGACACAAGACACATATCAGTTTATACTTTTTTATTTTACTTTAGGAGAACACATGCTCCGAAGTTTAGGATTTTTCAACAAAAAGGGATTTTATATCGTATTAATTTCTATCTATGTAAAATGCCTTGTAGTGGTATTTTTTAAAGTTTTAGGACATTTTCTATGTTGATTATCATGTAACACTACAATAAAATTGTGATACAGTAACACACACTCTATAGTAACATTATATATATCACTAAAAATTACTTTTACCCATACAATAATTACAATATATGTTATTATATTATTAAAAAGTGTGGATATAAACTATAGTGACACACAAAATATGTTGTTAAATCTCATTTAAAATTAACACTAAAATTGTGTGTAACTATATGTCAAACAGACATATACCTACATATATTATACCTATAGTGACACTTTTTGTATGTCACTATATGTAACATTTCTTGTAGTGTAACCAATGTAGAGTGTAACCTTCTACATTAGTTCAAACTAAAATCGATATAGAACCTTGTTTTAAACACCAACAGGAGTTTCATTTTCACCGTCGTGTTCACTGTTCTTTGTCTTCTCCATTTTCAAATTCACTCACTCAAACGTGCTATTCTTCACGTTTTTGCTAGATTTTGGTCTTTGCATTTTTGAGCTTTCACATTTTCCCCATTTTAGTTTATAACTTAACTTTAATTTAATTTAATAAAGTTAGTTTAGTCTATTATTAAATTAAGTTATTTTAGAAATTTAATATAAATTAGTTAGGTTTCACTAAAATAAGGTTCCTAGCCCACTTGCTAGTATAACGATCATGTTGAGTTAGATTAGTTAAAAATTAGCTTAGTCTATTGCTTAAATTAAATTAAATTAATTTTGAATAAAAATTACAATAGCATTAATATGGTTCGAACCTATATTCATATACATATTACTTCAAATTTTATTATTAGATGCATTTTAATGATTCAAACTAAATTAATATTACTCTATAACTAAATTAAATTGCTTCAGAAATTTAATATAAGTTAGTATAGGTTTTTACTAAGGTAAGTTTCTTAGTCCATTTGTAACTATTAAATAAGTTTAGATTATATTAACTTAGTCTATTTTACTTCATTAATTAGTTAGTAATTAAATATTAACTATTTTTAGTTTAATTATGCACCTTTAAGTTGGCTAATGAACGTAGAAATAACCAAGTTTTTACCCCGACTTAATTTACATTAGTTAAAGAACCAATCTAGAAAATTAAAAAAAATAAATAAATAAACGAGATAGAAGGACTTTATTGCACTATGATGGATATATATGACAATACATAAACTTAAAGATTTTTTTTTTTCAACAAAATATGAAACGCTAACTAAAATTGAACTTATAAAAAATTTCCCCTTACACTATAAATTAAATCTCTAACTTAGATCATGAAATTCTCACTCGATTTATCCCTTCTTTCTCAATTATAATATAGGTCAATATATTAGTAAAGAATAAAAATGCTTCTAAGAATATGATAGGCAATAGTACTATAATAAATAAATTGAACGTATATGTGATACGTCTTTGTAAAATTCGTTTAAACTATAATTTTTGCTTAATGTAATAAAAAAAAAAAAATATCATTTTTAATTATCTTTTGTGTCTAATATTTATATA